CCCCCCCCCCCCCACGAATTCTCACCATCTAATCCTCCTCACTGACTTCCAGTAAATTATAACCAAAAACCGGAAAACCGTCATCACCCTTGGACCGCCCAGCCTCCACCACCGGGCCGCGATGGCCACCTGGGACGGCTCCTACCAGGGTGGGTCGCACGAAGACCCGAACTACTACTTCGCCCACCCCCAGCCAAACCAGCCCTACTACAACTACAATCACACCCCCGCCCCCTTCCCCCAAACAAACGGTTACCAGAACCCCCCGTCGTCCGTCTACTACGAGAGCAGCCGTCAAGCTTTCGAGCGTCCGCGCAATCCTCCGAACCCCACCCTAGCGTCTCAATCGACCCTCCACGCCGGGGCCGACGAGTTCGTGCCCTCCGACCCCTCAAAAATCTTCTTCGCGGACAACAGAAACCGCAACACCCGATCAAAAAGAACGAATCAGTACACGCGCCAGCAGGACGACTACCCCAGGACCTACAACCGAAGCGACAAAAACCGTCGAGGTCAGACCCCTGTATTCTACTCAACCCCCGACTACGACCAGCCCTACTCGACCCCCGCGAACCCCGAAGACGAGTTGACAAACAACGCGCAAATGCGCGAGTCCTCCAGAGGTGCCTACACCAACAGAAGACCGCGAAGCCACGGAAGATTCGCAAAAGACCGTTACAACAATCACCAGTTAACGCAGTTCAACCCCCAATCGAGCGACCAACCCCCCCGAGGAGGGCCCCCGGTAGACAACGACAACCAGAAAGCCCCGAAGCCCCGCCAGAAGTACAAGGAATACAGCGAAGACCCGAGGGACGAAACCTACCGTCGGAATACCCCGGCCAACGAGCCGGAAGAAGCCCCTGCTCCCAGGAACGACAGACGTCGACACAAGAGCGACTACTACGAGGAGAAGCAGTCATCGAAGAAGGACAAGCGCAAGAACTACCAGGAGTTCAACGGCTACAGGAGCTACCCCGAGAAGAAAGACGAGAAGAAGAGTGCGGAGGGCGAGGAGAAGAACTGGAGGAAGGGGCAGATCCCCAGTGGGAAGAGGGGCGTTAAGAGGAGTGAGCTGGACGACGCCAAGAGTCAGAAGGAGAGGCTGACTGATCAGCTCAACAGGGGACAGCTGGAGTGCTTGGTCTGCTGCGACTACATCAGGCAGAACGACGGGATCTGGGCTTGTAATAACTGTTATCATGTCCTACACCTGAAGTGCATCAAGAAGTGGGCGGAGTCGTCGCAGAGCGAGAGCGGGTGGCGGTGTCCGGCCTGTCAGAACATGAACCTCGTCTTTCCTGAGGAGTACTACTGCTTCTGCGGGAAGACGAGGGATCCAGAGTGGAACAGGAGGGATGTGGCGCACTCGTGTGGAGAGGTCTGCGGAAGGTCGAGGGCGAAGAATGGGTGTGTGCACAAGTGCACGTTGCTGTGTCATCCGGGGAGCTGTCCTCTGTGCACTGCCATGGTGACGAGGTTCTGCGGCTGCGGGAGGACGTCGCAGAGTTTGAAGTGCAGTACTGATGTCCTGGTGACGTGCGAGGAGGTCTGCGGGAAGGAGCTGGGTTGTGGGGTGGATAGGTGCGAGAGGAAGTGCCATCATGATCCCTGCGGGGATTGCCAGAGGACGGTGGAGCAGGTGTGCTACTGCGGGAAGGAGAGGAGGGAGGCGCGGTGTGAGAAGAAGACCAGTGGGGCGTTCTGCTGTGGGGAGAGCTGCGGGAAGATGCTGGAGTGCGGGAATCATCAGTGCAAGGAGAAGTGTCATCCGGGTGAGTTGAAGGTGTTGGCGGACGGTGGAGGTGGAGGAGTGTTGGATATAGGCAATTTGTTGTTGTGGAGATTGCATTTTAATAATTGCATTTTATTGAAATTCTATGGAAATTATAACATATCCCATTTTATTGAGCGATTAGTAGAAAATTTCAATGGAGTATTCTATTCTCCTGAAAGATTCTGTTTTTTGCCCAAATTCTATTAAAGTAGTAGTTGTTGTGGAGATTGCATTTTAATAATTGCATTTTATTGAAATTCTATGGAAATTATAACATATCCCATTTTATTGAGCGATTAGTAGAAAATTTCAATGGAGTATTCTATTTTCCTGAAAGATTCTGTTTTTTGCCCAAATTCTATTAAAGTAGTAGTTGTTGTGGAGATTGCATTTTAATAATTGCATTTTATTGAAATTCTATGGAAATTCTAACATATTCTATTCTTTTGAAAGATTAACGGAAAATTTCAGGAGAATATTCTGTTTTATTGAAAGATTCTGTTTTTTGCCCCAATTCTATTAAAGTAGTATATAGGGGAGAGTCGGGAAAAATGGGATGTTTCGTGATTTTCTCTAGTTGTCAATATGTTCATTTATAAGTGAAGATATTGACAATTGGAAAAAATCTCAACACGTCCCATTTTGCCCGACCCTCTCCTACATAACTTGAATTTTGAAGATGAAAATCTGAAATAAATTGTAAACAGAAATTGATGAGTAAAAACATTCTGGGTGAGTTCGTGATCAATTGTCAGTCCAGTATTATTGATAATAATTAATTTACGTGTGGCAAAATAATACAGAATCTTACGAGAAAATCAATTTTTCGAGATTAGAGAGAAGATTAAAATGTACGAAAAATCTAAAAAATGACAAAAAAAAATGAAAATTCTATGTCTAATACAAAAATTATCATTAGTGTCAAACTTTTGTGATAAATAATTTATGTTTCCGGGTGCCCTAGTCAAATGAGCCATCAATAATTATGAAAATAATTGTAGAGAGAATATGATGGATTAATTTTTTCTCTCGTCAAAATTAGAATTCATGTAAGAAAATTAACACTATCAATGATGAATATTTTTTTTTAGGCATTGTAAAGTTATTTTTCCTTACTAAACTCAACTACTTACGTGGGGTTTTGATATACTACTTCAAGAATTCTGCAACGTCGACCGCGTTTTTAAATAGATATTCGTTTATAGAAAAATATCTATAGATGCTGATTTTTCAATGTAACTCATTCTCCTTTGGGATTTTTTCTATAAGAATTCTCGGGCATGATTTTTCCTAGTTTGTTTCTCGAATTTGATTTTGAGAACGAACAAAAATACCTCAAAATCAATTTATAAAGTTGACACCCGAGAATTTCTATAGAAAAATGAAAATCCATTGTCTTTTTTTTCTCCCAAATATCCCTCACCAAACTACCCCTATAAAATTACAAAATTTCCTCTAGAACTGATCAGTATCAATTGTTTTTCAGGTCCCTGTGGCCCGTGCCCCTTGAAGCCCGAGCTCGTAGCCCACTGCTGTTGCACCCAAACCCCCCTGACCACCCCTCGGAGCTCGTGCCTCTCGCCAGTCCCAACATGTTCAAAAACCTGTTCAAAACCCCTGCGCTGCGGTCAGCCCAGTGCCTCCCACACCTGCATCTCCCCCTGCCACCCCGACGACTGTCCCCCCTGTCCCCTCTCCACCTGGGTGAAATGCAGATGCGGCAACATGGACCGCGAGATTCCCTGCACCGACCTCAAGACCAAAGCAGACGACGCTCGTTGCGAGAAGAAATGCACGAAGAAGCGATCGTGTGGAAAGCACAAGTGCAATCAGCACTGCTGCATAGACATCGAGCACGTCTGCCCCTTGCCCTGCTCCAAGACCCTGAGCTGTGGTCGACACAAGTGCGAACTCACCTGCCACAAGGGGAGATGTCATCCCTGCTACAGGAGCAGCTTCGAGGAGCTCTTCTGCGACTGCGGAGCTGCTGTGATCTACCCTCCAGTGCCCTGTGGCACCAGGAGGCCCACCTGCACTCGTCCCTGCTCCAGACAACATCCCTGTGGTCACGAGGTCCTTCACAACTGCCACAGCGAGCCCATTTGCCCACCCTGCACTGTCCTAACGCAGAAGTGGTGCTATGGTAAACACGAATTGCGAAAGGCTGTTCCTTGCCACTTGAACGAGATGTCCTGTGGCATGCCCTGTGGCAAGCCAATATCCTGTGGGAGGCACAAGTGCATCACTCTATGTCATCCTGGATCCTGTGAGAAGGGGAATCAGGTGTGTGTCCAGCCCTGCACGACACCCAGGGAGATGTGTGGCCATCCTTGTGCTGCTAATTGCCATGACGGTAAGTGTACGGATGGAATGGACAAAGCTGACTGGTCGATTTACCGTCATTTTACACTAAATTACACGTGACTGATCGAAGGCCAATTACTGACCGTTTGTGGTCGGTGAAAAAGTGCCGGAATTCCGGGTCACAAAAATTACAAAATAAAATGTTAACGGTCACTTTAGTTCTAGATAGGGCTAGTCGATTTTTCTCCCTTTAAGGTAAATGACCCTACGCTCGTCTAGCTAGGGTGAACACATCATTAGTCCAATATTCCTATCGAAAGGAGCGTGAAGATGCGATGGTTTAAGACCCGGGTGGAGTAACTTTCGAACGTCAACTCGATTGTTTTTCTATCTTCATAATCTAAAATATATCACGATTTTCTTTGGATTTTGCATCACGCAGGAGTCCCTAAAAGTTATGATTGTACAATCAGAAAGTTAAAAAAGTAGAAAAAAAACTGTACAGTTTTCAAACAGCGTTTTTAATAAAGATTAAGAAATAAGTCCGATAGACAGGAAATAGTGAATGGATAATTTGATAACTAACGGTCTGACAGCCATTGACTACTGTGACAAATGGGTTTATTTCCCAATATTATTCCAAAACACTCTTTGAACATGTTCAGCTTTTTTTCAACGTTTTTTTGATTATTTAATCATAATTTCTGGAGACTCCAGGGCTGTGTAAAACTGAAAAGCAATTAGAGATAATTTCAGATTATCAAAATTAAAAAAAACAAGATCACGTTCGAAAGATACTCCACCTGGGCCTTAAATTAGACATCAGAGGGGAAAACCTTCAGAATCGGAATTCACTTATACTAATCATGATAATGAATCCAGAAGCAATCAGAAAACGGTAAATTTACGATTGACTGAACGCATGTCAAATAATTACTGTCATTTTGCATCCCTAGGTAAGTGTCCTGACACTCCCTGCAAGGAGAATGTCAAGGTCACTTGCACCTGTGGACACAGAAGCACTACCAGGGTCTGTGCGGAGAACTCGAAGGAGTATCAGAGGATTGCCAGTGGAATTCTGGCTAGCAAAATGGCGGATATGCAGCTGGGGCACTCGGTGGACCTTGAGGAGGTGTTTGGACAGGGCGCCAAGAAGCAGAATCAGCTGAAGACTCTTCCTTGCAATGATGAGTGCGCGTTGATCGAACGGAATAGGAAGCTGGCGCTGGGACTGCAGATTGTTAATCCTGACTTGAGTGGGAAGCTTATGCCTAGGTACAGCGAGCATATGAAAGGCTGGGCCAAGAAGGATGCCCACTTTTGTCAGATGGTACATGATAAACTCAGTGAACTTGTACAGCTGGCTAAAACCAGCAAGCAGAAGAGCAGGAGCTACTCGTTTGACAGCATGAATAGGGATAAGAGGCAGTTTGTTCACGAGAGTTGCGAGCACTTTGGGTGCAAGAGTCAGGCGTATGATCAGGAGCCTAAGAGGAATGTTGTGGCGACTGCTGTTAAGGATAAGGTGAGGATACTTTTGATTGGGGAAGTTTTTTGAGGGAAATTTTTACAGGTTTTCATTCATGAGAAAGCATTTACATGAATCAGGAAATTTACCCAGAACTTAACTTCTAATGTTAATTATTGCAAGAAACATACATTCTTACAAATGGCCATTACACGAGGGCCTTCAGCGTAGAATACACTTCTGTACAGTATCAACAGTATAGTATCTGTACAGTATCTGTACAGTATCAGCAACTCCTCCCCAGGAGTTATTGCTAAACTGCTCAGTCCGTATAGCCTTTAGATTTTCGAGTAGAGTGAGAGGGGGGTATTTGTATCGAGATTGGGCGTCAGGGGTGATTTACCCAGAATTTAAGACAAAATTTAAGATTTCATTTAGTTAATTTTTTTTAATTTGTAATTTATTTTGTTTTGGATTTTTTTTTTTAGTAAATGTTTAGATAAAATATGGAGATAAATGTGATGTATTAAATATCAAACTGAATCAGAGAATTATAATATTTGGTGTAGATAGATTAGATGTTAAGGAGGATCTTTGTGAAATATTAAGTTATAGATGAGTAGGATGATATTTAAATTTTCAAATTAAATAAATACGTCAATATAATCACTCGTGTGGGCATCTGAGCAATTCAATAATGAGGATTTTGACAGCGGAGAGTGGAGCAAAATAAAACAGTCGAAAAAGGAATATTTGACGCAATTCAACCAAAAAAAAATTTTTTTATTCACTTCTCGCCCTGGGCCCTCCTCCAGACTTTGGGTTTTACTGTTTAATTTTCTTTTCAATTAATCCATTGATAAAATCTTCTTCCGTCAAAACTTATCAATAATTCTCCATTCTACTGAATGAAAAATTATTATTCTCATCAGCACTCCCAATAATAAACAAAAGTTAATTAAAAAAATTGTAAATAAAAAATATATCTTTTCAAATTTGGAGATATCTTTCAGAAACGGATCTATGGATGAAGTTGAGTCATCCTATTTCAAAACTTCATGATTCGGTTTTGTGGGATTAACTTTTTTTGGATTCAGTTTTTTTAAATAACAAGGTTCCAATTTTTGCAGTTACAAAAATGGTCACTTGGCTTCACTAATTTACTAAATATTGTAGGATAATTTTACTGTAATGGAGACATTGAATCGATGAACATCAATGTAGAGAATTGAATTAAGTATTTAATTTCATTTTTTAATCCATTTTCCATTTTTTTCAGTGCTGGTTACCAAGTTATAGTTTATTGGAGATGGTTCAGAGGGAGAATGGCCAACGAAAAGTGCCAAGACCAATGCTCAATACTGCAAGGACCAACACTTTAACTTCTCGGTAATTATTCACCACAATTCATAAATTATTTCCATAAATTCTGTGACGAAACTGGTAACAAAGCAAAAATACGAAAATTTCGTAGAGATTAATTTGCGAATCCCTTCTAAACTACTAGTTTTGTAGAAAAATGTCAGAAAAACTTTTTTGGAGTGCGTGAAATTCTCTGTAAAAAAGTGTTGTGACATTTTTCTCTGTATCTCTTCCCTGTCAAGATATTTTCGAATTTCTGAATCTTTAAAAAAATCGTTCTATTTATCCTCATTTATTTGTTTGTTTATTTTACCCAGTACTTCGGAGGTTCTGCCGTCAACTGCCAAAATGAGTCACAAGCTTCAGCCAACAACTTACTCATCGAAATCTCCGGAGCCAGAGATTGACTACTTCGACTTTCCAAATTCCAGACTAACATAAATTATATTTTCTCAACTGGTACAACTCCGGCCATCATCGGCAGATGGTTCTTCCCCGAGATCACTGATTCATTTCTCCACATAATTTATTTTATTTTGGGTTTGATGTAAAGATTAACGGGAGTAGTGGGAATTGTTCTCTTATTGCATGATTCTTCAATAATTATTCATCGCCTCGGGGATTGGCGAAGAGTTCAGTGGAAGTTCAGTGAATAAAAACATACAGGATAATGAGAATTAAATCGAGATAATCTCGTTTGGTGCCTTTTCATGTGGGATTATGTACTTTGATGGGAGTGGAACTTTCAGGTGTCCAAACGAGTTCAAGTCAGTGAGTGGAGTAGGAAAATTGAGATGAAGGGAAATCATTCAGATTTTTCTGCAAATCTCTGGAACTAATGGGTTTAAGGGGGAGACTGTGGAGTTTTTGAAATTGTCGGCTATTGGAGTGAGATCTCTACGTTAGGGGTTGATTACATATGTATAAAGATAAAGAATTACTGAAAAAAAAATTGTTTGTTTTTTCGTCCCGCAGACGCTTAAATTGTTGAAAATAGACCAGTGTCTTCAATTTGTGAGCTACAGAGTTGAGCTTTTGACCTGATTTTTTCCAAACATTGTGTAGATTAGCAATTACAGATCAGTTTTTTAAATTTCGATTTCTAGGCACCTAATTTCATTTATGCTTAATCAATCAACTGGATTTTTTGTTCATTTCCTTAGTAAAAAATATAATGTAAATATTTCGAGAATATATTTACTGGGCATTTTGTACGTATAGGGGAATTTTTTATGTAAACAGAATCGGCTATTTAGAAGTCGAATTTAAGAAAAAAAAATTTCACAATTGTTGTTTTACATATTTTTTGAAAAATGTTAATACACTGACTATTTTTAACGTTTTCAGCATCTGTGGGGCGAAGAAACGATAAACAATAATGTTTTTGCTCTCATTCTTCGTTTTGATAAATTAATCGATCTTTAAAGTATGAAAGATCTCATTATAATAACCTTGGAATTGTAACTCATAGTAGTCTGTCCTTAAAAAAAAAGTCATCAGGTATTCATGGAGATATAAACTTCCAACAAAACATTTCTAGAAATTTAGGAGAACCAAATTCAATGGTCCAGATATGTGGGAAAAAATCTGACTGAAATTCCTATTCATTCCACTACTTTTCACCACTTTACCAAAAAATTATCATAGTGCACGAAAAGCACATTAACCACGTCATCCATAGTCTCTCAATCACCAGAGAGGCCCTAGCAAAGTTCAATCGAATTATTCAATTATAACTAGTTAGGAGGAAAATTCTGAAATACAAATAAAAGAGCAATTGGAAAAACAAATAATTCTGTCATTTTCCTCGAAATGAGGGAACACTTCCTTGATTTTCACAGCTTTATTGAGTCTCCAGAATTCAGGTAAACTAGAAACATGAGTATATTGATCCATAATTTGATATCAGGCTATTTACATAACATTCACTTAACGATAAATGAGGAAATACTTCTCCCGAATTTTATTTCTATCTTTCATTTTTTTTTGCTTCAATTAATTTTTCATGGCTTTTGCGCTCCTTGTGCTCAATTTTTTTCTAATATTGTCCTACCTAGAGTCAACTCTAGAAATAAATAATATAAAAAATTGATACAACGTTCAAAGACCATTAATTGCGAAGTTATTGCTAAGACTCCGTTTTTAACGAAAGAGTTCAGTAATCATGTTTTTTAATTATGTAATTATCTCGAGAAGGAGTTGATTAAGATGAAAATTTCAAAAGACCCCTTTCGAGGGGAATGAATTTTCAAATGAAAACAGTCTTCTATCTTTTTTTAACCTGTAATCACTCTTTATCGAGATAATACAGTATTGAAAAATGTTTAGTACTGAATTATCATTTTTTTTTCGCAGATTCTCTCCATGTCCTATTATTGTGCAATCCATCTCTAGGATTTTTTAACATTATTGTGCAATCCTTTTCTCGTATATAAATAATGTTATCTCAGTGTCAGAAGCTCCCTGGAATTAGTATACTCTCACTTTTACATTAATTGGTTGATTAATTCTCTTGGATTCTCCATTTTGTCTTTAATTCTCATAAACATTTAAAATAGATAACACGAATATTTTTTTGTGATTTTCTACGTTTTTGGCACATCAAACACTTATCATTTGACTTTGAAATCTATATGATTAATTTATCTTAGTTTTGGTTTCATTTGCATTTGTATGGCATTCCAACGCACTCAGGATCATCCGCTTTTTGTACTCGTGATTCTACTCCAGGAGAATTCAGCAGAAAAGTGATAGAACATTTTATCGAATCTTGATTGATCGAAGGGGTTTAGAGATTCTTCTTTTCAATTGAGATGGATTATGTTTATTTCACGAATAGAAAAATTTAAGGTTTAATAAAATTTATTGAAATTGTTTATTTTTTATTTGACTTCAGGCCCGGGTGTACCATCTTTCGAACGTTATCTCGATGTTTTTTTTTATCTTTCGTCGTCTGAAATTGTCAATTAAGTCCTGCATCATGCAGAAGTTTTGAAAAATTATGAATGAATAATAAAGAAAAAGTAGAAAAAATAATTTTTTCGAAGAGCATTTTTAATTTATATTCAGAATAAGGTGAATAACAAGAAATTGAAAAATGTATCTGATTTACGATGACAAATGGCGGCCTGTCATCCAATATCATGCATGGGGGAAGACTGATTTCGTAATTCTTTTCCCACACTGCACAGATACATTTATTACGGAAAAGGCTCTTTGAAAAAAGTTGTAATATTTTGGAGAATTTTTTAATCACACTTGTATCACATAAAAATGGCAGATGACTACATACCACTGTTTTGAAAATTGAGATACCTAGCTGTCACTTCCCATGGGGAGTTAGTGTTTTGTTATCCACCATGGAGAATGACAGCTAATAGATAATTTGCCACGGCGAATCAGATATTTGTAATTTCCACTTTTTTCAACTCATTCTGAATCTCAATTAAAAACGCTCTTTGAAAAAGTTCAGAATTTTTTCTATTTTTTTTATCATTCTATCATAATTTTTGAGAATTTCTACATGATGTACCACGCAATTGACAATTTTGGATTACGAAAAATAAAAAAAAATCCCGATAACATTCGAAAGATAGTACACCCGGGCCTTAATATTTTATTTTATATCCAAGTACTTTGGCTATTTTTTCTACAGTGAAATGCTTTTATACTTTTGCAGTCATTTAACAATGATTTTATTATTTAAACTTTGCAGGTCTGAATTTCAATTTCAATATTGAACCGTTAGGAAACATTTTAAAAATCTGAAAAAAATAGAAAGTTTACTTTTGAAAAAAGATTAATGAAATAATTTAGAAATTGCAACTTTTAAAATTTTTAATTCTTTCCGCTGCCCTTTTATAGAGTTCTTGAAATAAAATCCAACAAAAAAATTAGAAACATCGACATTTACAGATTTTTCCATCTATAAAATCAATATGTATTGAATGGGAACCAAAAATAAATCGAATTCTTTGATAGAATTCAATAGAAATGGAAATTGAATAGAATTTCCTAAAGTACTACTTTTCCATACGTGTCAGGCTGTTTTAATACTTCTCTACGGAATTCTCATCGTCAAAATTGTCACGCATTCATGAATTTCATGAAAAAACCCGTAGGATTTACCTAATCTAAACACCAAGATTCTTATCACATGTAGAATCACAACATTGCCACAAATTCTCATTTAATATAACTCTATACTTTAGTTGAAAACGATTTAACTATCAATCTCGAGTATTAAAATGTCCTTTTTTTGTAATTTTTTATGTATTATTTTGAACATTAAAGAGTAGGGCACTTGGAAAGGGTCGATCTGCGCGATGCAGATCGTTTCTTCTCTACCTGGGGGCACGATCAAGACACGTATCCTTATATGAATTCAAAATCTCTAATACAAAATACTGAGAGTCGAGTAGTATGCTGTATTTACAATCTAGTGATGACCCTTTGGTAATGGATAAAAGAAAATTAATTTGATTTGTTGTTTGGAAGTAGAAAAATAAACCAAAATCGAAAAATATGGATTTCGATCAAAATAGATATTTATTTTCAGTTCGACGCGGATATGAATTACTTATGCAGTGAATTGGGGGAAGAGCAAAATGGAGATTTGCTGTAAATCATCAGTAGCTCATGAAATTTCGATGAGAATTTTATGAGTTTTTTTGCTTCTGAATTGAAGTCTTGTTTCCATTTTGAAACACAGTGACGACATTTCAAGAGGAGACTTACCCCGGAAATAAAGCTTTTTTACTATTTTTCGTATGATTTTTCCTCAGACATGCGAATTTTAATTTTCTGCAACTGAAAATTTAACTTGAAAAAAAATCCCCAACATAAGAATTGTTGTGATAGTTTTTGAAATTCAGCTCTTAATTTTTGCTTCTTAATTCTGAAAAATGAATAAAGAGAGACAATTCGAAATTTATTCGTCAAATAAAATTTCTATTGACATATGAAAAAAACTTTTTTGCGTTCGAATATTCTGTGTAAACTTCATTTATGACTGATAATTCCGTGTTCAATAATCCTCATGTACAGTGCTGAAAATTTTTCACTGAAATTTCCGGTAATTCTTGGAAATTTTTAATCAGTAACATTTCTACTGAAATTTCAAGGAATTTTGTCATTGAAAATTTATAATTTCGTGGAAAAATCCGTGGAAACTGTAAATTTTAGTTCATTTAATCCGGAAAAATTAATTAAAAATCAGGAAAATTACGAAAAATCTCTCCTTGAATTCCAGATTCCTCTCAATTTCCAGAGAATTCTTCCAGAATTTCTGGAATTCTAGAAAATTTTAAAGGATTCTCTGAAAATTTAAGGGAATTTGGTAGTGAATATTCATTTTCACTAGAAAATTCACGCTAAACAATTTGGTCTTTACTTAAATTTTCAAATTTTTTTAGACGAAATGATTTTATGAAAAATTTTAGAATTTTTCATTTTTAAAAATTTACATCTCTAAATGTGAAGAAAAATCACGCAAAACATTGTACTTTGATTTATCCTTCCTCAAAAAAAGAATAGTTTTCATTCTGAGATGAGTCATCCCTTGAAATGATCCAGAGCTTTCAAAATTCTACTCCAGAGATTCTGAGGTATTGACGATTCAAAAAGGTTCACTTTACCTTCCCCTCCGCCAACTTGAGGAAAACACTGCATTATTTTTTTTATATTCCAGGAGTCCAAATGTCTAGCGAAATTTATCAGGAGACTTTTTTTTAGAGAATTTTATTGGCTACAAAAAAAGTCACTTGATAAATTCGCCTAAATCCACTTATTCCTGAGATATTGATGAAATAACGCACACATGACCCTTCGAGGCATTCTGCATCCCCAAAAAGACCTTCACTACATAATTATTTTGTTAATTAACGATAAATGCTGTTGAGTTTGTCTCAACATCTTTCTTACACCTGAACACAGTTCATGTCTTTAGAATTTTGAAAATATCAACCCTACCGGAGAAATTCTGTTGAGAATGAAATGAGAAAATGATGCATCAGAGAATTGGAATTTTGGAGAACATTTTCACGATGAAAATAGTCAGTTACCTCCGTACTTGATGCATTTTTGATGACGAAATCGGTTTAATCTTGTGTCTCTCCTTATTCTCGAGATTCCCTCGATATTATTTAAAAAACTATTCAGATGTTAGATTCTCTTATTTCATTTTACTACAGAATTTCGGATGAATCCTTCTGTTCTATATTTAACCATTGCTATTAGAAACTTTAATTTCACAGCGATTGATGTTCCCAAGTTTGAAAGATTGTTATTGCGATCGTCGATAAACATTTACCATAAAAATCATTCACCTCGTGAGTAATTCTGCAGCGAAGTGACGAAGATCGGAGAGTTGATGAAAATATTTATGCAGATTATTTTGCAAATATCTCTAGAACGCAATTTTTACTTGAGCCTTTCAGAATCTCTAGCAAACAATAATCAATTGTTGACTTTTTGCACAAAAGAGAACTTTTTTCTATTAAATATTTGTTAGAAAAACGCGTAGAAAATATTCAATGGAGTTCAAACAGAATTTCTTACAGAATTCGCAGAATTTTTTACGTGTTTTGCATCAAAAATGGCTGAACAATAAATAATTGAAACTTCAATTCTGTTGTGAATTGGTAAACTAGGATAAATAAAAACGCCCTTCTATTTTCCCAGTTCACGACAGAATTATTTCTTCTTAGTCACCAATTAAGGATTTGTATGAGATAAAATTGAGTCCTTGCATAAAATTAGTTTAGATAGATCAATAAAATTCGAACATTGAATAAAGAACATCAGATATGTTTTTTTTAATAATGAAAAACAATGAAGTTATTATCAATTACAAAAACGTCTTCAATGCGTTATTATAATGGAGACGTTTTCAATTGGTTATTAATTCTTCATTATTTTCGAAATGTTATATGCTTTCCATCCATTTTTCATATTCAGCAATTAAAAATTCTGTGCAATTCTTATTTTATAGCGAAAATTCCCAGAATCTTCTTCTGTAGTTCACACAGTTGAAATCACGGGCGAAAAAAATTAATAGCGAATTCGCTAGACCATTCTATTTAATTTCTATTGAACTTTCTATTAGTTTTTGGGCAATTCTATTGAAGTGCTCAATAGAAAATACTCTACAGAAAAAATGAAAAGAATTCTTTTTTTCTATACAACTTATTCTACTGAGATATTTTCTATAGAATTTCTCCGGCTCAATTTTTCCAAGTTTTTCATTTGATTTTATTGATGAAAAGAAAAGAAAAATAGAATGAAAATAACATGGCAAATTTTAACCGAGAAAATTCTATAGAGAATACCTCAACAGAATAAGTTGTTGAGAAAAATTGAATTCTATTTACTTTTTCTATTCAACATTTCAATAGAATCGGCGAAAAACTAAACGAAAGTTCAGTAAAAATCCAATAGTAATTTTCTAACGAATTCGCCAAGTTTTTCTATGAAATTTTTTCGTGCGTAATGCATTTCACCATTCCATTTAAATTTCTGTGATGAAAAATTTAAATCACACCGAATAATTAAAAAAAAAGAGTATTTAAAAAACCATTGAATTGACGAAGAAATGTAAAATGAAATTGCTCAGAGGAAATTGTCCTCTTCTCCCCCTGCCCCTAGATATTTGCAAATTACTTCGTAATTACTTTCGTCACTGCACTACTGAATATTGGAGGCATAATTCAACGTGGAAATCAATGAGAACCTGGCGTAATTGATCCAATTTGATCCAAATCAGTCGATTTCCCTTGGAGAAATATTGCTTCGGTTTAGATGAAGGGCTGCGGCTTCAGGCCCGCGCTGTAGCTGCGGTAGTTATTGAAGTACTGGTGTCGAGGACTCACTGAGGGTTGCTTTGTTATGCTCGCCATTGCACATCCCATAATCAGTTCCAGTGCACGGCAGATTGTTTGGTAGATGAGCCAGGGCCACGGTTTTGGGTATTCCACTGGACCGGAGGATTTTCCGTACCTCAGGGCTTCACCCAGAAGACCTAGAGCATGGAGAAAATATAAATTCGACGATTTTCAAACGATTACGTGATCCAATATGTATGACAAGTGCCTCATCGGCTTCTCGGGGCTTAAGGGGTAACAGAGGGCCACTGTTTCCTTGAAATTTGCAAACAAATTTCCTGCTCAAAGTTATTTTTTTTTTCTTCTCGTATATCCTTTCAGGTTTTTATGATTTGTTCCCCTCCCCCCAATCCGGTTTACTGCATTCGCCGAAGGACGAGGGAAAACCTCACTTGAGGGAAAAATCTGCCTAGCTTTCCGTCTCTTGCAAGACTCTCGCTTCACAATAAAAACGTGAAATTTAGAGTTTCGTAATATTTTGGCCCTCTCAGCCGGGAATCGATCCCGGGTCGCCTGTATGCCAATCCTACAGTCTAACCACACAACCACCGTCGTCGGTCACTCAAAGTTGTTCACATTCTTCGAAAAAGATACGGCACATTGATTGATTGATTGATTGATTGATTTTTCTCTCATATAATCGCCGCCTGAAGATTAATGTGCTCCGATTTTTTTCAAAAATTTGTAAAATTAGCGGTATTTTGTTACCTCCTAAGGGGTAACAGAAGGCCACCGCTTCCTCGAATTTTCAAATAAATTTCCTGTTCAAAGTTATCAATATTTTTCGAAACTAAAGAACATTGATCTTCAGCATCGCCTCCTGTAGATTTATGTGCTGCGATTTTACAACAAAAATATGGATATCTTTCGGCAAGAAATTTGCTCAAAATTTTCAAAATTAGCGGCATTCTTCTACCTCTTAAAGTAGTTTAAATAGATTCTAGTTGAGTCGTTGAGTGTAACGGGAAAAATGAATTTGGAATACCCAAAAAATGGTTATTCATCACTGAAAATTTTCAATATGAATTCTACATTTAAGAAATGCGAGAAAATCCATTAAATTCATACTTCAATTAATTTTTCAAAACAATATAGTCTCGTTTGAATACGGTAGTTTGACATAACACGCCATTTCGACCACGCAGAAACATGAATTATTTATTACAAAAATTTGATGTGGACGATAATGTTCATTTCTGATTTTTCAATGTTTTTTTTCTCGATTTTAATCTTCTAATAAAACTTACTGCAATAGAAACTATTTTATAGACAACAATCAGTAGAATCTTATCTTTTTATACAACATTCTCTATTGAGACATTTTCCATAGAAATTCCCCGACAATCCGAGCCCAAGAATTTTAATAGAAAAAATCTCAAGAAAAACATTCAAACAAAAAAATCGAAATCTATTGGCTTTTTCCTATAAAATATTTAACAGAATCTGCGCAAAAAACAAATAGAATTGTAACAAAAATTCCCTTGAATTTTAACGAAAATTCCTTCGAATTTTAATAGAATCCCCATAGAATTTCTAGAGAATTCCAATAGAATTTCCTAGCGAATTCGCTGAGGTTTTCTATTAAATTTTTTCATACGTGTGAACATGAAAAGAATTGGGCCAGCAAACGCGCTGGTAATAAATAATTACCATAAGATCCAAAGATCCTAGCGATATCAGCAACGCACAGAATGATCCCCATGATAGCAGTGGCATAAGTGACATTAAGAACCCTCTTGATCTGCGACTTCCTGGCAGCTGCGGTGCTGGCTTCCGGTATGTGAAGTGGAATATCGGATTTCGCGCGATTCACGTAAGCAATGTGATTTAGAATGGCATGAAGCGTGAAATCACTCGCGACTCTGTCCCCCTCGGGAAGGAGAGTGCTGGCAGCGGTGATATCCTCCTCCCCCTTGAGAACCTCCACGTTCTTCCAGGATAAGCTCTTCTTCCTGTGCTTTCCATCCTCCGGCTTATCCTTGGGCTCGTCAATCGCCATGAGCGCAGCCTTCTCGTTGCAATCCGGATGATCAGAGTCGGACTCCGATTTTTCCGGAATTTCCATCTTGGGAATTGATGTTTGGAAGTGGGTGGGACTTTTGTCGAGGGTTCTGATGCTCACGTCACTGCTTCGACGGTTTATCACCAGCGGGCTTATCCCGGAGAACTCGGAGTTACGGCGGTAGGACACGTCGGAATTCCTGCGGGACTCGGGCGTCTTTACTGCGGCCAGACCACTGATATCTGAATTTCTGCGGGATCCTGGAGAGGGAAATAATGATTGTGCTGCGGCATATTGAAGTATCGCTATTGATGTGATTATGGAGGGACTGCACGGGCGAACAAGTTGATATCTCGATTTTTACACAAGCTACACTGAGAGAAAAATCTGAAGTTCGATTTACTATAAGAAAATAGTTGAGGCAGTTTTGGTGAACGATACGATTTTTTTTGCATGCAGCACATAACATTATAGTAACTTCACGTGCGTAATTTTTGCAAATCAAAATGCAGTTAAACTAACCAGAGCTAAAAAGTAACCACGACAAATCTGTCGTGAGAAGAACTATAAAATAGTAGCAATGACTACGTTCCATTGTAGTAATCACTTCTCCGGCCATAGTTACCGTAACCCATGAGAAATTGTTGAGGACTTTTTTACTACAGTGCGATGGTGATGGAATATAGTCAGAAGAATCATATTTTTCTCTCAGTGTAGAGTGATTACATAGTTTTTTATGAAACAACGGAAAAACGGGAATATCTCGAAAACTCTGGATGAACGGGTATAGGTTTTGATTGATTTAAATAGAAGGCATCGAAACGAATATTTTGAAAATAAAAACTGAAATTGGTCCACTAGTTTTGAAGATATTTGCGGAAAACGATTTAAAATTAAGATCTAGAATCTGACAAAATTTCAGATTTTTTGGAATTATTTTAGCGACTTAATTAGGTGATTTTCTAAAAATTGACATTTTCCAAGAATTTCACGTTCTCAATTTTTTAACAATTAGAGAATGTGAAAATTGAAAGATTGTAATGCTTCCTTTCGGAACCAAATTTAATAGAAATTCGTAACGAATGCGTTAGACAATTCTAGTGGATTTCTGTTGAATTTTCTATTAGTTTTTAGTCGATTCTATTGAAATACTCAATAGAAAATATTTTAGAAAAAAAGTCAATAGGATTTGATTTTTCTATACAACTTACTCTATTGAGATATTTTCGATAGAATTCACTAGGCTCAAATTTCCAAAGTATTTTTCATTCTATTTGTCTTTTCTTTTCATCGCAAAAATCAAACAAAAAACGGGGAAAATTTGAGCCAAGGAAATTCCATAGAACATATCTCAACAGAATAAGTTTTATAGAAAAATAGAATTCTACTGATTTTTTCTGTAGAATATGTTCTATCGAGCATTTGAAAATCATGAATGTTCAGCGTCGTTAAAATTACATTTTGCGCAGAATTACTTAATTTTAATTTTTGAGAACATATTTATTCTTTTAGGTATAAAATCGATTTCTGGTAAAATTCTGAATATGAATAAATTTGTTACGATTTCGAACGAATGATTTTTATGGTGGAAAATTATTGATCATAAATTATTTATGAAAAAAGCTACGAGCTTTTTTCATTTTCAAAAATTGCAATTTTAAAATTATTTTCATCAATCTTTCTCTAAAAGTAAACTTTCTAATTTTTTAAAATGATTTTTAAAATGTTTTTCAATGGTTTAAGATTCGAGATTCAAATTCAGATCTGCAAAGTGGAAGCAATAAAATCATTGCAAAATGTCCGCCAATTAAGCGTCAAATGGGGCGCAAATTAAAGTTCTGATGTTTTTTCCTACAAAAGTAGAAAAGCATTTCACTGGAGAAAAAATAGCCAAAGTGCTTGGATACCCTTAAAAGGGATTCCGCAAAGTTTTTCCTCAAACCTTTTCTCACACACGTATAAAAAAATCGTATAGAAATTGCCCATATGGATTGCGTATAGAATTTCTATAGGATTTTCGTATATGATATTCGGATATTTCTATACATATATTTTTAATACATATTATTTCGATACAATTTCTGTAGGTTTGCTCCTGTACGACCCACTGCCACATGTACAGAAACATTTCGTATGGAGTTGCGACAGTTCTCTACGTTTTTCTCTGGAGCGTTTAGACATCGAAAAATGAGAGGTATGAAAACAAAAATTTATGAACAAATTGCTGTATAGAAATAATTCGTATAGAAAATATTCGTAAGAAATATTTGAATATGATATACGGAAATCCTATAGAATTTCTATACGCCATTCGTAAATTTCGAAAATTTCTATACGATTTTTTCATAGGTGCACGTGCATGATGCTTGATCCCTGGAATAATAATTTCAACAGAATTGTCCCCAACTCACCGACAGGACTGACATCCAGCACCTTCGACAGCCTCGGTCCCTCGTTAGAGATCATCCTCTTGGGTGTTCTGTTCCCAAAATCCGAGTTTCTCCTGAGCTTCGTGGCAAACTGCGAGCTCCTGTTCTTCTCGTGCGTAAAATCCGAGCACCTCCTCAGATCCTTATTGCTCCCACTCGGCGTGGGCATGTCCGAGTGCCGCCTGTGTATTCCCTCCGGAGTAATCGGTCTGCTGCTGCCCTCCCCCTGGGAGGCATTGTCATTAGTAAATCTAACGCTGCAATCAGAGCCCCTGCGCGAGCCCTTGGAGGCATCGCTGCCCCTGCGACTGCTGGCGATTGAACTTCGCCTGCTTGGACTCGATACCGTAATTATTGGAAGATTAACTGCTGCTGGGGTTGGCGTTGGTGGTCGAACGTACACCTCCGGCACCGTTGATGTAGCCGGCTCCTCCAATTTCTTGGCCGGGAGCTCGGGGGACTCTCGCCACTCTTCCAATGCTGATGACACATCTTTCGCAAAACAATTTGATTCAATTATTTAGTCGAGGCGGACGAAAAATTAGTTCATCTCGGGAACTATCAGAGGAGGATATTGATTTCCTTGATCGATATGGAATATCTCCGGAATTCCGAGATGTTCCCCGACATCCGCAAGTAAAATAATAAATATCAATAGAATTCAATTTTCCCATGCAACTTATTCTATTAAAATATTTTCTACACAAATTGCTCCGCCGAAAGTTTCCATGTTTTTTTTGTTTGATTTTTTTTTCAATAAAAAAAGCAGACAATCTGTCAATATAAAAAGTTGAATAGAAAGATGAACTTCTACTGATTTTTCTATTGTATATTTTGTATAAAAAAAGACACGCAGTGAAGCAGTTGAATTCTTCAATAGGATTGGCCAAAAACGATTATAAAAGTCAATCGGATTCCTATTAGTTTTCGGCCGGTTCCGAAATTTTGGCCGAAATCCCCACTGAAAAACATTTTATACTAAAAAATCAATAGAATTCGATTTTCCATGTAACTTATTTTATTAAAATATTTTCTATACAAATGGCTCCACCGAAAGTTTCCATGTTTTTTTTGTTTGATTTTTTTTCAATAAAAAAAGCAGACAATCTGTCAATATAAAAAGTTGAATGGAAAGATGAACTTCTACTGATTTTTCTATTGTATATTTTGTATAAAAAAAGACACGCAGTAAAGCAGTTGAATTCTTCAATAGAATTCACTAAAAACTATTAGAAAATTCTATCGAATTTCTATTAGCTTTTGGCCGATTCCAATGTTTTCGCCGAAATCTTCAATTAAAAGCTATTTTATAGTAAAAAATCAATAGAATTCGATTTTCCATGCAACTTATTCTATTGAAATATTTTCTACACAAATTCGTCTGCCGAAATTTTTCAAGTTTTTTTGTTTGAATTTTTTAACTGAAAAAAGAAGAAAAATAAAGTGGAAAAAACTTGGAAAATTCATGTCGAGAAGTTCAAATAGAAAATCTCGCAATACAAAAAGTTGAATGGAAAGATGAACTTCTCCAGATTTTTCTACAGCATAGTTTCTATTGTATATTTTGTATAAAAAAACACGCAGTAAAGCAGTTGGATTCTTCAATAGAATTCACTAAAAACTATTCAAAAATTCTATCGGATTTCTATTAGTTTTTGGCCGATTCCAATGTGTTCGTCGAAATCCCCAATTGAAAACTATTTTGTAGTAAAAAATCACTAGAATTCGATTTTCCCATGCAACTTATTCTATTGAAGTATTTTTTATGCAAATTCGTCTGCCGAAATTTTTCAAGTTTTTTTGTTTGAATTTTTTTACTGAAAAAAGCAGAAAAATAAAGTGGAAAAAACTTGGAAAATTCATGTCGAGAAGTTCAAATAGAAAATCTCGCAATACAGAAAGTTGAATGGAAAGATGAACTTCTCCAGATTTTTCTATAGCATAGTTTCTATTGCACATTTTGTGTAAAAAACATGCAGTCGAATTCTAAGATAGAATTGGCCAAAATTCTATCTTAGGATTCTTAGAATATCTTAGACTATTAGGAAATTCTATCGGATTTCATTAATTTTTGACCGATTCCGAAATGTTGGCCGAAATCCCCAATGAAAAATATTTTATACTAAAAAATCAATTGAATTAGATTTTCTCATGCAACTTATTCTATTTAAATATTTTTTATACAAATTCCCCTGCCGAAATGTTTCAAGTTTTTTAGTTTGAATTTTTTTTAATGAAAAAAAAAGAAAAATAAAATGATAAAAACATGGAAAATTCACGTCGAGGAATTCAATCCGGAAATCTCCCAGTAGAACAAATGAATAGAAAAATAAATTTTATTCTTCTGATTTTTTCTGTAGCATAGAAAAAATTTCTATCTAAAAAAATAATTTTATTTAAAAAATTGTATTGTCTATTTTGTATGAAAACAGCACGCAGTAAAGCAGCTGAATTTTCCCATAGAATTCGCCAAAAACTACTAGAATTTTCAATAGAAAAGTTGAGTAGACATTCAATACTATTGTCTATCGAATTCCCTATTTTTCTACGGAATTTATCCCAGAGATTTCATTCCCCTATTGCTCCCCATTCCCGAAATATTGATGAAGATGTTCATAAAGAATGAATACACTCATCACTTCATTCCTCTCCATTTGAGAAATGAATCCTCTTTCTTATCTCTCCGAACAAAAGAACAATAGTCACAAACCTTTCCGGCCCTCATCCACATTGACGGCCTCATTGTCATCAGTTTTGTATTTAGGATTGAGCAAGGTAGGCACCAAGGCCGCAGCAACGGAAGTGGCTAGATTATTGTAAGGCGCGAGCATGGCCAACTGCATTATTCCCTTCTGATTAGCCACTGAATTATCACGCGTTAACAAATTATTGGGTAATGTTCTCAGCAAGTGCATGATTTTGTATCCAGCGTGGAGGAAGGTCAGGTACAGAAGTATACTCCAGGTGAGGAAAATTGTTTGTACGATGTACTTTGTGATGAAGTGATTGTGAACCGCCAGGGCTATGTCGCTCGCTATTATGCAGGAGAAGTGGCATGTTATGATGAGACTCAGGCACGACTCCTTCTGCATCCTCTCCGGTCCGAATTTAAGCTGCAGAGAGAGGGCCGGGGTAATTAGGTCAGGTGGTTGGGAGTTGATGAAGGGGTTAATGGAAGGAATTAATGAATTTTGGGGAGTTTAATTGTGCAATTATTCTGGGATTTATTGACGGTGCGGGAGAATGGCAAGAGACCTTTTTGGTCACGTGTGAAAAAATTTCGTAGAACAACGTAGCGAACTCACTAGACAATTCTATTGGATTTCTATTAAAATGCATTATACAATAGAAAGTATTTTATAGACAACGTCAATAGAATTCGATTTTTATGCAACTTTTTTATGCAGCTTATCCTATTGAGATATTTTTTGTAGAATTTCATCGGCGCAAGTTTTTTTGTTTGATTTTCTTGATGAAAATAAAATAAAAATAGAATAAAAAAACAGAAAATTTCAGGAAATTCGATAGAAACTATCTCAGTAGAATAAGTTGTGTAGAAAAATCGAATTCTATTAACTTTTTCTATAAAATGTTTTCCATTCAGCATTTCAATAGATTCGGCTAAAAAATAATAGAAACGTAATTGAACTTTACTTTATCTCGCTAGGTTTTTCCATTATATTATTATTATAATTTTTTTATTATGACTATTATAATTTTTTTACGCGTGGTAACTGGGGACACGTGAAAAAATCAGCGAGATTTACGAAAAACAAGTGGGAAATTGCTTTTGTCTTCGCATAATTTTTTTCCATGGAATTTCATTTATCCACGCACGAAAATTGATTATTTTAGATTTCTATTGAACTTTCTATCAGTTTTTGGCCGATTTTATTAACATGTATTATGCAATAGAAAATATTTTATAGAAAAAGTCAATAGAATTAGGTTTTTCTATGCAACTTATTCCATTCAGTTATTTTATATAGAATTTCTGCGGCTGAAATTTTTCAAGTTTTTTGAGTGATTTTATTGATGAAAAGAAGAAAAAAATAGAATGAAAAAACTGAGAAAATTCGAGCCGAGAAAATTTGATAGGAAATATCTCAATAGAATAAGTTGTGTAGAAAAATCGAATTCTATGGAATTTTTCTATAGAATGTTTTCTATTAAACATTTCAATAGAATCGGCCAAAAAATAATAGAAAGTTCAATAGAAACGCAATAGAATTTCCTAGCCAATTCGCAAGGTTTTTCTGTTAAATTTTTTCATGAGTGGTAACTGGGGCACGAAATGTACGAAAAACAAATGGGAAATTGTTTTTTCCTTCACATCATTTTCATCTATTGTATTTCATCTATCGTTTTATATTGTTTTGTAAAATTAACTTATATTTCGACTTTAATCAATTGTGTTAGATTTCTCGTGAAAATTCTTGTATAAATAAAATGAAAGAATGATGTTATCTATATTATCTCGAAACGTGGATAAAAGGGCATTCGAAAACCGTGTTCGTGCATAATTGGAAGTATTTGAACATTGACATCTGCAGCTGAGAGAACGCCTTCATAGAAAAATCCATTTATTCTATTCAAAAATTCGAAAATTCAACTGAAAATGTTATGCAGACATTTGGAGCATTTGTTTGTTTCAAATAAATTTGTTCAGCATGAATGAATATTTCTTTCAATGTGTAGTCAACATGTTCTGTCGATCATTCTTCCCAAAATCAATAATTTCTAAGATAATTGCGAATGATTACAATCTCCACCCATGCAGTAAAAAGTTATTGAATGAGTTCCAAGAAAATTCGATGTAATCACAAAATTATGTCAGAAATTATTGTTTCTGAAGGAAAATGTCAATGGGCATTCTTGCAACCAATTACATTTCATGTGAAGAAAAAAGTGCTGAAATTTGTTCAATCTGCTGCTGAACTCCATTTACAACGGTTTATTAAGCCTCAGTCACCTACTGCACTTCGAGCATTTTCATATTCATTGTTTTAAGTATCGTTAAATCTTAAGCATCTTTATCTTTACTCAATCGATACTCCATTTTGTAAGGACACGCATGAAAAAATTCAATGGAAAACCTAGCAAATTCGCTACAAAATTCTATTGGAATTATATTGAAAAATTCTATTCGTTTTTTGCACCGATTCTATTGGATATTCAATAAAAAACAGTTAATAGATTTCAAATTTCTGTTTGAATTTTTCTCGTAGATTTTTTCTATTAGAATTATTGGGCATAAATTACCTAAGTTTTTTCCACTGGATTTTGTTTTGTTTTCCACTGCAGAATCCGAGTGAAAAAAACTTAGAAAATTGATGACCAAGCATTCTTATAGAAAAAATCTCAAGAGAAAAATTCAAATAGGGTGAATCGTCCAGTGTTCGAACGAATAAGGTCACAGTTATTTTTGACGTAGACTTAAAAATATAAAAAAGTCGAAAATTGATTTAAAAATAATTATAACTCCTCTGTACATCTCCATAGATAATAGAAAAAAATATTATGGATATTAATTGACGATACAATTAATGATATGAATACAAAAAGCTGAAAATGTGTGAAAACCCAGTAATCGAAATGCGTATTCTGTGATGGGAATATGCTATTGGCGGCGTGTCATCGAAAACTGTTTTTTCCGCTGGTAATAAGGTAACTTAGACATTTTCAATCATCACAATATCATTTGGAAATGTCATAATTTTATTTTTCATGTATAATGCGAGGCGTCTCTACCTTCTACTAATTTATTTTATAGAAAAAGTACCAATTAGTTCGATTACTGGTCTAATTCGAACACCGGTTGGTTCACCCTGAAAATTTGAAATCTATTAACTTTTTTTTATCGAATATCCAATAGAATCAGCGGAAAAAACAAATAGAACATTTCAATAGAATTCCTATAGAATTCCACCAGAATTTTCTAGCGAATTCGCTAGCTTTTATATTGATTTTTTTCATACGTGGACTTCGTGGTCACAATCTTATTCTGAATGAATAAAAATAAATAAAATGAAAGAAACAATAATAAATTTGCTGTGAAAAAAGTTATGCGGTAGTTTTCCTGAAATGACTCCTCGGACCGGTGTCCGCACGATAAAAATGTCAAAATGGATTTCTGTTCTCGAATCTACCCCTAAGCCGGATCCCTGTCGAATTTCCGGCGTTTATTTTTGCATAGTGATGATGAGTGTACCTGGGTCAGCTGGAGGAAGGCTAGCTGGATGAGGCAGAAGGCCGAGGTCACACAGGGAAAACCGATGTCCCACAGTACTGAGCCAATTATCTTCGGCATTGTCTGAGGAAAAACGAAATTAACAATTAGGATTCAATTCAGTTTTTCCGCTCTATTCACTTTCTTCAATTTTTCCGAAAAGTAACCATGACAAATTGTTTTTTCTTTCTTTATTTTCAGTTTACATAAATTTACGATTATATTAATTCTATTTGGTTGCTAGCGTAGTGAAAGAAAAGAATACGCAACTAACGGGTACTTTTTACTGCAGAAAGTTTTTCCTGGTTTTCTTGAGAACTACAACATCTATTATCACCAGCTTTCTTCAGCTGTCTCGTAAACTGAAAATGGCGAATTGATCACGTACGAAGATATTGGAGAAGGAAGCAAGCAATGCCTTCACTGGGAAATTCTCTGGGATTTCAATTGGAATTCTATTGGTTTCTCGCTGAGTTTATTGAAAAATTCCAGAGCTATTCCACGGGTTTTTGAAAATAGAAATATCTACTAGAAAAAAATTGATATATTTATATTTTTGTCAATGAATTTCTATAGAAACTATGGTAAGAGAAAAAATATCTGTTTAAAAGCGGCGCAAAAAACAAATAGAATTTTTCATCAGAATTCCAATCAAATTGGGTTTTCAAGTTTTAAAAAAGAATTAGAATTCTAATAGAACTCCAATAGAATTCCTTAAGGAAATTGGTAGTTTTTATTTCTGAATGGAACCCTTGTAATCGTCCAGATTTCACATTCTCTAATGTTGATTGGAAATTATGTAGAATAGTCTGAACCGTAAAAATACGAAATTTGGAAATTTTTAGAAAATTGAGTAATTAAGTGGCAAAAATATTTCCAAAAAATATGAAATTTTTCTAGATTATAGGTCTTAATGAGGACTAACTCTGTGCAAAATTCCAGGCTGACAGATCTAATAGTTCTTAAGAAAAAGCGATTCTTTTTTAAATCGTTTTTCGTTAATATCTTCATAACTCGTAGACCGATTTCGATTTTTTCAATTTCGAAATATTTGTTACGATTTTTTCACACGTGCAGAGTTAACCCAGAGTTAACTCCGGGTTTGACTCATCAGGGTCTGCAATAACTGAGTCTTCAAAATATTCAAAAAATCTATTATTCACGGGAAGAAAGTTTTTGATGAGCATCTCCGTGAAGGTCTGCATCGTAAATTTACCGAGACCTCGAGTGACACCGTTTTTATAGTTCCATCTCGGCGACTTCTCGAGATAATGCCACAAACATAAAGAATGAAGAGCCCTCGTGCACTTTATGACCCAGAGAAGAAGAAAGAAAAATTGTTGAAAGTATTATTTACCTCTTGAAGATTGTAAGGATCTATGAAGAGGCAAGCGGACCTTGAGACACCCAGCAAACACAGAAAGATGTTGATGGTCGTCATAAACGGCCGGCTCGAGATGAGAGATCTGCAAAGAGACGAGAGTAAAATTCCTCAAATAATTAATCAAGCCCTCCGTAAAGTGCGGATGAACAGTCAGATTCAGAATCAGAATCAATTACCGCAGATTCAAAATCGAAAAGAGGGTGTAGAAACTGAGGACGAAGAAGAGACAGGCGAAGCCGTAGGTGTGGAGGGGAAATATCCATCTCAGGTCTTGATTCACCGACGACAGTGATGGAGCTATGAGGAGCTTGTCCAGTGGTGGAGCACTGGAGTCGACACAATTCTGACCTGGATTTGATGTTGCATTTGTGCCTGAAAAATTCGTGTGGAGATAAGAGCGATAAAAGTTGGGGAAAATATGATGGGGCGGACGGGAAATTCCGTTTTCTACACGGAGAGAAATGCTCAGTAAAAACTACGGAACTCACAGATCGCTCTACCATTACGGAATTGACTCGGAAAATTTAAGGGTGCCAAGTGAATTTGGCGATGACCTTGAAAATTGACATTCACCAACAAAGTTATAATTTTTTTTAATAATAGTATTAGACAGATGGTGAACATCGGTGACAATTTTAAAATTTTAGAACTTATGGATATCGAGAAATTAAATAAACAAAATCAGTCTTATACACGGCCTCTTATGGAGTTTTGATTAAATTGAACGTTTCAACCCCCTAGGAACTCAAGAAAAATTTGAAAAAATTTGAAGATATGGGGAATGATGTGTTCAATGTGATGGCGACAAAAAACAATGGGGTACCGGGGTGAATAAGAGAGATATTTCAACCCGCCGTACCCATTTGATCCCATGCTTTCTCGAG